ATTGTAATCTAAGCACCATTACACATCAGAATGACGCAATGATCATTGTAATTTGAGCACCGTTACACATCAGAATGACACAATGATCATTATAATCTAATTACTATTATACATCTGAATGACGCAATGACCATTGTAATCTAAGCACCATTACACATCAGAATGACACAATGATCATTGTAATGTAAGCACCGTTACACATCTGAATCACGCAATGATCATTGTAATCTAAGTACTGTTACTCATCAGAATGACGCATTTATCATTGTAATCTAAGCTCCGTTACACATCAGACTGACGCAATGATCATTGTAATCTAAGTACTATTGCACATCAGAATGACACAATGATCATTGTAATCTAAGCACCGTTACGCATCTGAATCATGCAGTGATCATTCTAATTTAACAACCATTACACATCAGAATGACGCAATGATCATTGTAATCTAAGTACTATTGCACATCAGAATGACACAATGATCATTGTAATCTAAGCACCGTTACACATCTGAATCACGCAATGATCATTGTAATCTAAGTACCGTTACACATCTGAATGACGCAATGATCATTGTAATTTAAGCACCGTCTCACATCTGAATGACACAATGATCATTGTAATCTAAGTACTATTACACACCAGAATGACGCAATGATCATTGTAATCTAAGCACCATTACACATCAGAATGACGCAATGATCATTGTAATTTGAGAACCGTTACACATCAGAATGACACAATGATCATTGTAATCTAAGTACTATTATACATCTGAATGACGCAATGACCTTTGTAATCTAAGCACCATTACACATCAGAATGACACAATGATCATTGTAATCTAAGCACCGTTACACATCTGAATCACGCAATGATCATTGTAATCTAAGTACTGTTACACATCAGAATGACGCAATGATCTTTGTAATTTCAGCACCGTTGCACATCTGAATGACACAATGATCATTGTACAATCTGAATAAGTACTATTACACATCTGAATGACACAATGATCATTGTAATCTGACGCAATGATCATAGTAATCTACTATTAAGCACCGTTCACATCAGAATGACACAATGATCATTGTAATCTAAGTACTATTGCACATCTGAATGATGCAAAGATCATTGTAATCTAAGCACCGTTACAGATCTGAATGACACAGTGATCATTGTAATCGAAGCACCGTTACACATCTGAATGACGCAATGATCATTGTAATCTAAGTACTGTTACACATCTGAATGACGCAATGATCTTTGTAATCTAAGTACCGTTACACATCTGAATGACGCAATGATCGTTGTAATCTAAGTACTATTACATCTGAATGACACAGTGATCATTGTAATCTAAGTACCGTACAGATCTGAATGAAGAATCGATCATTATTATTCTCATTCATTAGTCTCAAAATGCCTTAACAGGTATTCAGTATAGTTGGTTATGTCTACTGAACGAAAGCTCACGGAACTGCGGCAAGTGTGAGCGTGTTTGATCCATGGTCACAGTCTAACGATTTTACAGGCGCATGTGGTGTGAATGTGCTTATTGGGGTTTATGCCACTTCGAAACGTTAGTCTGGCCGATTATTTAGTGTCATGGTGCTTCTACAATCTAGTCGAATACTGTCCATACCACCTCAAAATGACATACCATTATTGTCCATACCACCTCAAAATGACATACCATTATTGTCCATACCACCTCAAAATGACATACCATTATTGTCCATACCACCTCAAAATGACATTACATTATTGTCCATACCACCTCAAAATGACATTACATTATTGACGATACCACCTCAAAATGACATTACATTATTGTCCATACCACCTCAAAATGACATTACATTATTGTCCATACCACCTCAAAATGACATTACATTATTGGCTATAGTAAACTACGGTTATAAGGAACTCCATGGTCCATGGTCACAGTCTAACGATTTTACAGGCGCGTGTGTGGTGTGAATGTGCTTATTGGGGTTTATGCCACTTTGAACCGTTAGTCTGGCCGATTATTTAGTGTCATGGTGCTTCTACAACCTAGTCGAATACTGTCCATACCACCTCAAAATGACATTACATTATTGTCCATACCACCTCAAAATGACATTACATTATTGTCCATACCACCTCAAAATGACATACCATTATTGTCCATACCACCTCAAAATGACATTACATTATTGTCCATACCACCTCAAAATGACATTACATTATTGACGATACCACCTCAAAATGACATTACATTATTGTCCATACCACCTCAAAATGACATTACATTATTGTCCATACCACCTCAAAATGACATTACATTATTGGCTATAGTAAACTACGGTTATAAGGAACTCCATGGTCCATGGTCACAGTCTAACGATTTTACAGGCGCGTGTGTGGTGTGAATGTGCTTATTGGGGTTTATGCCACTTTGAACCGTTAGTCTGGCCGATTATTTAGTGTCGTGGTGCTTCTACAACCTAGTCGAATACTGTCCATACCACCTCAACATGACATTACATTATTGTCCATACCACCTCAAAATGACATTACATTATTGTCCATACCACCTCAAAATGACATTACATTATTGACGATACCTACTCAAAATGACATTACATTATTGTCCATACCACCTCAAAATGACATTACATTATTGGCTATAGTAAACTACGGTTATAAGGAACTCAAAGTGGGCCGCTAATTGTCCCTCATTATAACCGCAGTATCTTATTTGTATATAGACTAGTATATACAGTCCATAATTTCAGAACGGAAGAAGATTAATGTGAAAATTCTGTCTGCATATGCTACCAGCATTTTCAATGTATAACAGTCATTTGTTATTATTAAATCAAGAAAAATTTCTGCTATTTAAAAAGCTTAGGAACATGACCTACTGATGACTCGTTGTTGGTTGTTGCTAAACGCCGCACAAAGCAATATTCCAGCTATATGGCGGTGGTCTGTCCGGACCAGACAATCCAGTGATCAACAGCATAAACATCGATCTACGCAACTGAGATGCGATAACGTGTGTCAACACAGTCAGCGAGCCTGACCTTCCGATCCCGTAAGTCGGCTCTTGAGACAAGCATGACCCATTCTAGCCCATCATGACATCAACTGCATAATCAGTTATACCATGTCCCATAACGCAATATAGTCCAACACAGACTACTCTATTTTTATTTCATGAAAGACTTTCCACTACTAGGAATGGCCGACTTGTTCAGCGATGTATGAACTTGACCACTTCCACGTGAACAATTCCAATTTGCTTTGCCTTACAAATATTGCAAATACAAGTGGAAAGAATATAAGAAACTGCAATGAGTTATGTGATGTCAATCCCGAATCTCATTCGACATTTCTAAAGCATGATAAACACGGAAATGAACAAACTCCAGGTCGATCATGTCAATGACAAGGTTATTTCAACCTCACGAATACAATGCATCTAACAAGAAAGAAAAAGGGTATCAATTTCGGTAAGGCTATTATAACGACACCATGAAGAAACTCGATGGATATTTCCATCTTTCGTGAGTTACTGCGCAGGTTAGTGAACTATAGTCGAAAGCAAGGAGTGTATACATCAATCTATAATATATCTTACATGTTCTCGTAAGATGCAGCAGCTAGATAGACGACAAGTTATTTAATAGTTTGAAAAAATGCATTTCAATTGTATCAAGGCGTATAAGATCACTGTGGGAAGAACCAAAACATTATGAAGGCCGTAGACGTTAATCGTTTGGCAACATTCACGAGGACGGATATGATGCTGTCAAATCTGAACTGAAACTCGGTTTAATGACTTTGATCAGCACGTGTACACTTAACTATAAAACTAATCACAGGTATCTGTCCAATGGAAAGTAGACAATAAAGACTATATAACTAAACAAAGGCCGTGGTCCAATGGAAAGTATATCATATAGACTATAAAGCTAATCAAAGGCATTGATCCAATAAATAGTACATAACATAGATTATATAACTAACATATATGTACATATTATATATTTAGCATATACATACTCAACTACGTCAAGAAGCTAGTAAATTAAGTTACGATCTGTACAGAGTAGGGCTAATCACTGATCCATCCTGCGCATGTGGAAACCCGCGCGAAAATGCTCATCACTATTTCTTAGAATCTTCTTTATACAATCAACATAGAAAGATCATGCTTTAAGCCATTCAAGGTGTATGTGGTAGTAATTCTGTGATTACACTATCTGTTATTTTAAACGGCATTGCAGATCTGACAAAACATAAAAATGAAATTATATTAAAAAATGTACATCAATATATATATGCAAATCTAAACGATTCCAGTAGTCTTCTCTCTATGCACCTTTTGTATTATAACATTTCCCTGAACTGTCAATCTTTCTCTGTCTCTGTTTCTAATAATTGCTTGTGATGTAATTAGTTATTGTAAATATCTTTGGAGAGGGGTTTTATGGGTTGAAAAAACTTGTCCCCGATCCTTTTCACATTGTGAATAAAATATGTTAAAGTAAACTGTTTTACAATAATTATTAGCTAGGTTTACAATAGGAAAATAGTACTTATCCGTGCTTATCTCCATACCTCAACAATGTCACTATAAACGTCACGTTCCTTCAGGGCGGTGGGGTAGCCTAATGGTTAAAGCGTTGGCTCGTCACGCCGAAGACCCGGGTTCGAATCCCCACATGGGCACAATGTGTGAAGCCCATTTCTGGTGTCCCCCGCCGTGATGTTGCTGGAATATTGCTAAAAGCGGCGTAAAAACAAACTCAGTCAGTCAGTCACGTTCCTTCACCGAGTGCATCCCGCGATAGGCCATTTCAACACATCAACTTTACTACTCTGACCCAGTGTCGTATTCGTGTGTCACACTATTAATAGTTAAGTTGTTTATACTACTTTATCTCATAAGCCGACAGCTTGAGAATTCAATCAGGAAGTAAGTCGTGCAGCTCATGGCGGGCGAGATACCATGTACAGGTATGTGTGTCCCATTGGGTTCATTGTATGTAGAAGTCTGAGAATAAGAGAATGACCATTCTTATACCAAGTGTTGATAAATGAAATAAGCTGTGTCCATGTTACGTTTGTATACATGCATACCACCGCGTGTTACCCGTACACAGTATATAATGTAGGTCAGCAACTGGCTATGTACAATAACGCTAGGCGTCGTTTTCCAAAGGAATATTTGCGTGGCTTGCTTGTTGCAAATATGCAAATAAAAGTTCAGTTTTGATTACAGCAATTTACGTGAGTGAGTTTAGTTTTACGCCGCACTCAGCAATAGTCCAGCTATATGGCGGCGGCCGGTTAATAATCGAGTCTCGACCAGACAATCCAGTGATCAGCATCATGAGCATCGATCTACGCTATACGATGATATGTGTCAACCAAGTCAGCGAGCATGACCACTCGTTCCCGTTAGTCGCCTGTTACGACAAGCATGGGTTACTGAAGATCATTTCTAACCCGGAACTTCACGGGTAGCAACATATGTAATGATCATTGCTTGTGTTTACCATTACCTCGTGTGCATGTACTTTGAGTAGGTCAGTGAACTGTATTCGAACGCAAGGGTGTGTACATGTTTGATATATGTCATGCATTCTCGTAAAATACAGCAGTGTGATAGGACAGGTTGTTTAAGTGTTACTGTAGTAATATCGCAGGTACAGTTTGATCTCATCTGAAAAACCATATACGTCCAAACGACGACATACAAGTTTCAGGAACAGGAGCTGGCACCTGCAAACAAGAAGCATGGACTCTTGTGATCCTTTTCATCTTCTGATCTTCATGACCTTTCTCACAGGAAGTAAGTACCAACATATCTGTCGGGAAAAGGATATTTTAATTGAAAAGCTGTGATTCTGAATAGTTTGCGTCAAATCATTGTCACACATGCACACGCGCGCGCGCGCGCGTACACACACACACACACACGCACGTACGCAACGTACGAGCGTACACGGGGGCACTCGTTAGAAAAAAATAATTCTTATCATATATTAGACGTTCGTCACTAGTATCGGCGTGCGTAGTATTAGAAGGGGTCAAGTATCCACACTCAGAGACTGCAGTCGAGTTACTCATACTATAAGATATGTGTCTGTGTGAAAATATTCATTCATGTATATACAAAAGCAAGAAATATTGACGCTGCTTCTCAAATTCCAGATTTTCATTTTGTGTGATTTTAACTCAAAGCACGGTGCTCAAATGGTATATAAAGTCACTCATTGTAGCCACAGGTCCGCACAAGGTTTCATCTATGAATGTCAGAAGATTGAATATGTAGAACCTGTGGTAATAGTATTCCTATGCTTTCGAAGAACCTTTGACACAAGAGTGCTCCGTTACTATGGTGTATATTTTCACTGCCAGATCGTTACTTGAAATAATCACTCACTATATTTATCGAACTGCTGTAAATGCAAGTGTTGTTTTTTTCAGTTTCAGCTATATGTATATAACTTTCTCTTCCCCCCCCCCCTCTCTCTCTCTCTCTGTGTAAGTGTGTTCACGGCGGATTTTTATTGAATTGATGTAAATACACGTCCTCGTCTTTCAGCCACTGGGGCAAGACTGACCACATCGCCGAGTCAAATAACAATCGGGGGTAGTAACCCAACATCTCAGTTGACTGTAAGTTGCAGCCCAAATGCACCTGGAATAACACAAGTGTTTACCATAGTGATTGGCAAGAAGTCTTCTACTGGCCCTGATCAGCCTATTATAGAAATGACCAACACAGTTTCGTCAGTACAAGTAGTGGACACAAGTCTACAACAGCGGATGACAGCCTCAGGTTCTATTAGTGGAGCAACAAGCAACATACAGTTCATCCTGACAGATCTGAGATGTGCTGATGCTGCTTCTACATACTACTGCAAAACGTTATACTTGGCGGGGTCAGCTGGAAATGACGAGACAACAGCCAACATCACAGCTAGAAGTAAGTGGGAATATGTTCATTAAAACTGAACTGGGTTTGGTGCCCTCAGAATATGTTTGAGAAGTTCAAACAAATCATTTGATGTAAACATATACTTGTTTATGGTATTATGATAATTCTTCCCCGCAAACTGATCAATGCATAAAAATGTTCAGACCCATTGCTTGTAATTTATATTATTACCCATACGGGCTAGGATACACAGGTGATTATTTTTGTGATAATCGCACATGTGCTTTTCAGTGATTCTCAACGTTGATTGGTCAGCTAAGCAGAGAAGAAATATGATTGGTTGACGGAACTACTTTTCATGATCCAAATTCATTGACAACTTATACCGTTTCTTTGATAACTAAACGTGCTGTACTCACACATTCCGAGATTTAAAAAAGAAAACATAAAGGTTAAAGAATATGAATACTCTTTTTATTAGACATTATTATTTTGCAATAAAATTGCGTTATAGATAGTAGTCTTTTTAAAATACATAACCTTAACACAACAATCGTGGCTAACCCACACTCCGGCGCAGTGATGACTTAGCATAACATCACTGCCACAGGCTAATTTGCATATCACGTGACCGGACTTTTCTCTTGTTTGTAAACAAACGCGCATATTCATATATTAAGAAGATCCTGGACTCACGAAAGCTTTTCAGCGCTCTCTTCATAATGTTTTAGATTGTTACATATATATTCTTCCACAGCTGCGACAGTAAGGTCTATGACAGTACATATTTAGATATCAAACTGGCTGCATCGTTTGCTCTCCATCAGCTTCGATGACAGCACGTGGTACCGTACAACCTATGTAAACAAAGGATCGCTACGCAAATCGAAATAGTGTTACATGTTTTGGGATATTTTTCAGTGAAACTAAACCATTCTATTAAAGATGTTTAGTGAGATGTGTAGACTCGTCAAAAATAAAAGAGTAAAATAAATCTGTACATTGTATTGAATGGACATTGCAAGATGTGACGAATCGTCACATTTTTCTGTCCTGTGGTAGAGGTACTATGCTGGCCGCATGGAACTCTGGGTAGGAGATTGTGGCTCACCCCAACCAAGGTCAATGACTAAGTTAAAGTTGACGGTGACCTAATAGGAAGAGTGATAAGAATTTTACAGCCCTTGAATTCCAACAACCATTTTGTTGTTAAAACTGAATTCGGTGATATAGAAGCAGCAAGATAACCGACTAAAGGTGTTACCTGAAAGTGTGAAAAGATAGTGTGCCACGGCGTCCATGCCATAGAACCAGGCACAATATTCCGGGCACAAAAATGTTCAGTCAATAAAAAGTTACTCTCCAGAGCCCTTATTCTCGAAACGTTCGTAGCCTTAAGAATTCTTAACTCTGATCGTAGCCAATTTGTTAAGAATGGGCTTAAAAAATTCGTAGGGCTACGAACGTTTCGAGAATAGCTAGCCAGTATATAAGCAACAACATCAATCCATCAATAAATTGTTGTCAAACCCTTGTAACTCACAGTGTTTGTCGCATGCCGTAATTCTTCATTTTGTACATACACTATTCTCAGGTCCAATTTATAGTGATGTATTCCACTTCAACTCCTCTAATGACTCCTCTGTCTGTCGACCATCTGCTTCAAAGAGGTGTATTGTTCCCACTAACTCGGATTCCGACTAGAGTTATCCTTCTTGGAACTGCTGTACTCTAATGAGACCAGTGACGTGACTGTAACACGCCTTCCACAGAATAAAATGTTGAGTTTCTTGACAGAAAACCTTTTCTAGGTGTATTCGTGGGATGGTTGTCTTTTAGATTTTCCAACTTTTAACCGTTGAGTTTCCCCAAAATTGACAGGTTTTTGCCAAAGTGTATTTCAACACTATATCGTCACCCGTCACTAAAATTTAGACACACAGGAGTCGTCAGTCGTCAATGAACGATGTTCCGGCGCACTGACTTGATCAAATACCGTTTTAGCGGTTATTAAGTTTAATGATATTCAATTAAAAGGATCATTTTATCATATTAACAAAGGTTAATAACTTATTCCATATAAAATATTTTTGTTGTATTTTAAAGCGATTTTACGAGGTACTATTTTCCATAGCGTAGTTATGTTATTACTGCTGCAGAAGTTAATTTAATACGCGCATGAATGCGTATTAGCTGTTTGAGATCATAAGCCCTGTCTCCGGGTGGTTTTTATTTCGTGTTTCTTCTATTTAAATTACATTATGGGTACTAAATAGAATAGCCAACTCGGTACGAGTGATTACGGGAAATATGCCCTCTTTAAAATAATGTTCAGTGCCTTGCCAAGGCTCGGCACTGGGAACATTATTTCAACTCGGGCATATTTCCCGTAATCACTCGTACCTATAGTTTGGCATGAAATGCATGTGAACCCCTTGAAAATTGTGAAAAATAAACCAACAACCAATAAACAAAACCTTGTACAAAAGGTAGGCATCCAAAGTTAGATTCTTTTGACATCAGGGTCATCAGAGATGTCATTCGCCGGCTATTAGCTAGAAATGAACACCTGTCCACAAGAATGTTAAAACACTTCCTTGCAGAGGATCACGACCTTAATGTTTCTAGGTTTATGCTCAGCAAACTACTGCTCCAATTTGGATACAAGTACAAGAAGGTAGCAAACCAGAAACCTGTAATGTGTGAGAGATCTGATATTGTGAAAATAAGGTGTAACTATCTGAGAGAAATTAAGCAGGCAAGAGAGGATGGGTTCGAACCTATATATCTGGATAAGACCTGCGTCAATGCAAGCCATACTGTTGCCAGACAGTGGTTACCCACCGATCCCAGTGATGTTAGGATAGGCAAAGGTGAACGTTTAATCGTTCTTCATAGTGGATTACTATGGTTATTCTCTAAATATCTTACATCTTACCCAGAGCACATAGAAATGTTCCCCACTCCCGACAGGATCCACTATAGTTATTCTCTAAATATGTTACAGCTTACCCAGAGCAGATAGAGATGTTCCCTTCTCCTGACAGGGTCCAGTATGACGATGGTCAGCTCTTATCAATCAGATGTACAGGCAGGATCGGGAACCAGTTTGATGAGAACAACCTCCAGAACCTGTGGACATGGGAGTGGCGATCTGTAAACAACGAGTTCGCCTCCTGGGCACGGTACCCAAACGACCAAAACATCACCTACGACAGTCCTACTTCGTCAGCGGAATGTCAATACACAGGGGCGACAACGCTGGTTCATACAGTCTCGAATCTAGACAATGGAAGACAGTTCAGGTGTTCTGTCCTAAGTGCAGACTACAGTGCAAACAAGACTGTTTATGTTGTTGGTAAGTTTTCAGTTTTATTTCACAGTTGTTTTGTGTGTGGTACTATTTTGTTGCATTGATCAATTCTCTATTGTCAGTGTGCTGTACAGAAGAATGCATATGTTACATCATGCATGTTGTCAGTACAACAATTAAAACAAAGGACCTTGTTTCCAGGTCAAACAGCGCCAGCACCGCCCGATACGTCTGCAGGTGGTGAGTGTTACAAAAATGTGAAATAAAGCAACAGAGTGAGTACAGTTTTACGATGCACTCAGCAATATTCTAGTTATATGGCGGCGGTCTTTAAATAATCGAGTCTGGACCAGACAACCTATGAATCAACAGCCCGAGCATCGATATGCGCAATTGGGAACCGAGGACATGTGTCAACCAAGTCAGCGAGCCTGACCACCGATCCCGTTAGTCGCCTCTTACGACAAGCATGGGTTACTGAAGATCAGTTCTAACCAAGACCTTCACAAGTCGAAAGCAGCGGAATTTACTTAAAGGTCACATGCAACCAAAAAAACAAACATAATTAAGACACAATTATCACTTATTAACGACATATAATATACCTTGCTGATTATGAAAAACAAAACAAAACAAAACAAATTTATAAGCGTACAATCGCAAATCAAAAGTGCAATATTTTGTACTTGGGTTTTCTTCCCTCGAAACGAAGCACCCGGGAGGCAGAACCCAGTCACAGCGGGTGGGTGTGCACTCAAGTGTAACGAAGTCTTTCATTGGGTGGTTCATTTGCCGATCCGCTAAGGGCTCATTGTGTGTGTGTATAAAGAGATGTTGGGTTATGTAAATACATGCTCATTTCTTCTGCATTTGCGTTCGATCCAATCAACACATACTGGGATGGTGAACTACTGCGTGGCTGGAAACTGTCGTTCGTCCATGTACAAAGCAGGACTTGAATTTTGATAATTTGTTACTGTAAGGCCATACCGAAAGGTATCAGAATCTGCAATGTTGTGTTTTGCGTTGCAAGTGACCTTTAATTATCCTGATTACATAGATAACGCTGGTATGACACATTTACCCCACATGTGATGCTGAAGCAGTCGGCCTGGAACATATTTCAGCCAACGGTGGCCATATTCATTCGGACTGAAATGTTTCCTCTTTAACGCCATTCTTGCGTCGTGTCCTTCGCTCTGTTCTTGATTGTTGTTTCGGATAAAATACAGTGTCATGCTTTGAGCATCAATATCATGGGTAGCTATTCTCAGAACGTTCGTAGCCTTACAAACTTCTTAAGCCCATTCTGAACACATTGGCTACGATCAAATTCTTAGGGCTTCGAACGTTTCGGGAATAAGGGCCATGATCTTAACTCTACTTATATATAGAGTATGACCAGAAATTATTGAGAATTTTAAAAAATATGTTTAATTGGAGTTCTAGTATAAACAACCTTGAGCAGCTATCAATTTGCTTGGTTTCATTCAAAAGAGACAACTCCGTAATGTTTTTCATTAGTTTGTGAAGAGTTATCCCCCTTTTTTACTTGCTAGCAAACGACATTTTCACTGATCCTCAGTATGGATGATTTAGAGAAGAGGAAGGGAGGCGCAGGTAGACCCAGAAAGTTGACTGTCGGTGACAGGAGGCGGCTTGGTATTCTTGTTTCTTAAAACAAACAAAGGAGTTTAGAAAACTTAAGGCTGGATATGATTGATAGAGGAACTGTGGCTGCCCGTAAGCAGACAATTAGAACTGAGCTGCACGCAATGGGTTGGCAGAAAAGTCGAGGAATTCCATCACCGATCATGAAACCTGAACAAAAGGAGCGAAGGTTGAACTGGTGCTTACAGCATAGAAATTTTAACTGGGACAATGTGATTTTCTCAGATGAAAGTTCTGTTTTGCTGTTTCCTAGTACACTGAAATTCTGGACCAAACAAACTGAAAAACCTTTTTATCAGCGCCCAAAGTACAGTCCGAAATTCAACGTGTGTGGTGGCATATCTGAGTTAGGGGCAACGCCCCTCTATGTATTTGAAGGGAATATGAACAGTGAGCGGTACACAGATGTTCTCGAGGGACATTTACTTCCATCTGCTCACTTGTTCGATAGAAAGTTTTGGATTTTCTAGCAGGACAACGACCCACTACATCTTTCAAAGCATTCACAGGCCTGGTTTCGGACCCAAAATATGACATTATTAGATTGGCCAAGCTATAGTCCTGACCTACATCCAATAGAAAATGTTTGGGGACTTATGAAGGAAAGTGTCAATAAGAAAAATCTGACAAATATTGCTGAAATGAAAAAAGAGGGGGTCCGATATTGGGACAGCATGGACCACGACTTTCTAACTTCTTTGATCAGTAGTATGCCCCGCCGCATTGAAGCCTGCATTGCTGCCCATGGTGACTTGACAAAATACTAACTGTTCACCTGTCTTTGAATCTGGAGTTATATTCTGCTAATATTCACATTTAAAACGTGAGTAATGAGTGAAGAAAATAAAACAAGTACAATCTTTAAATTCTCAATAATTTCTGCTTGTACTGTATGATCTCCGTCATTTGTCTTAGGCTAGTGCATTCGGAAAACGTCTGTTTATTCCAGTACAATGTGTGATGCCCATTTCTGGTGTCCCCCGCCGTGATATTGCTGGAATATTGCTAAAAGTGGCGTAAAACTAAACTCACTCACCTCGTTATCCCATGTAATGTCCATCAGACCTATGTGTGAAGTATCATCCGGCTGTACCCCTATCACACAGATATATAAGGACGGTAAATGCCACAGAACTTGAGGATGAGTAAGGTAATTTAGACTGGGTCACGGCAGTGACTGAACGAATTAAGAAAGATCAGTGTAAACAGTGCACAGTGACATGTAACTCCCAGTCCCCATCCCTCGATCACTTTTAGTTTTAGTGAGGTCTATAATGACGTTTTAGACGTCACTCTTGTAAGGCGTTACTACCAACAAGGTCAAGTTGAGGGGCAAGGGTATATGCGACCAGAACATTTCCAAATGTTCTATAAAGAGGGTGAGATGCTTATCCTTTAGTTCTTACACATGAGTGTTTATGGACCGATATATTGACTATTTGTAGTTTACTTACTTAGTCTTAAGTCTTAATCAAGTCAGTTGGACATGACAGGATCCGCGGTTGTTGGTTCAATTTTTTAACATTCTTCCCACAGAAGGATAATATTATTTTATGCCGCATTGAAACAAACTTGGTTGTTTCTCCTTTTACCAGTGTATAGAGAATAGCCTCAGCTCTTTGTCGTATTTTAACAGGGTTAATAGCATTATACTGATAATATATTTCTCCTCATTTTGTGATATTGTACAAACGTCATATATTTGTCCATATATATGACATTTGTGATGTAGTCATCATTGTTAGGGTGTACTCAATGATTGGTATTTAAAAAGTTAAAAAATATAGCACATTCCTGAATTGTTAACGTTTCTTAATAAATTTAACGTGATAAAAAGACAAGTTTGTAATGCAATTGGGCTATTGTGTACACAGACGAGGTAAATTGCATATTCAAGAAACATAAGTAGTAGGTGTCACGATACACCAATCTCGCGATTTTAAGGGCACGATACGATACATATCGCGATACATAATTTTCGCGCCTTTTCATAGCATTACCTTACCGGCAACGTTTGCGCTCGCTGATTGGTCCATCAAAATAGTCTAGCCAATCACAAAAGCTGTTAGTTTCAAACCTATTTTTTAAGTAAAGCTAGCTACATCTATTTATCGGAGCGATCTCGTATAATTTTACTATCAAGACTTTGAAGGAGATGGATATAGCATAAAAAATTGAATCGATAAAGTTTTAAAATAGGAATCGATACACGCAAGCATGTATCGCGTATCGTTTCGTCAGTAAAAATGTATCGATGCATCGATACATTCGCGTATCGCGACACCCCTAATAAGTAGGTTTGTTAGTAATTGTTACACATTTTAAGGAATGCACAATATTTCAAATCACAGCACCACAGAACCAGGAATCCTCGTTTGGTGTTGGAGTGGCTATAGGTGTGTGTATAATGCTGGCTATGGATGGCGTCTTGCTGTTTCTGGCGTACCTCTTCAGGGACGAAATAGCAGACTGCATAGGTAAGTATGAAACAATTGATTTTTTTATTTAAACTTTTATTTCAAAGTAAATACAAACAAATATAGTTTATTGCAAGTTCCAGTCCGTCAAGAAATGAAAAATGACGAAATCTGCAGGAAATGGACCATTGCTTCAGGCTCTGAGAATTACAATGGATCTCATTTTGAGATATACTTCTAAAACTGGTGTGTAAGTTGACACTTGCTGCAATGACTTCCACAGTTGATAACATGTTGAAACAGACGAATACGATGATGTTTAAGTCCTCCACAGATCATTAGCGGTCATTAGTTTCTCAATACAATGGCAGCATGATACGGTACACGAGGGTGTTTCGGATTTTATACTCCAGGCAGAAGCTGCACTCATCAGGTGTTGTTGTTAGGGGCATGTCTCTTCACTTACGGCTTAGCCAGCAAGCGATTCTGCTCTAAGTGCATAGACTGCGCCCCATTCACGCATATCATATACGGGTCCACATGAATTTTAACAGCTACAACCGTTTATTGTTCACAGATATGTAAAATAAATACTCAGAACTTTGGAGTTGTTCCTTGTGTGACAGCGTATTTTAAACTGGTTAGTAAATTGCTTTAACAAAATGCGCTCTGGCAAACTCATACCACTTATAAAATAATTGAATAATAATCACAGACCACTAAGGTGAACCTGAAGGTCACACACACCTGGGAAAAGGGGACTCTCAAAGGAGGGTGGGGTTCAACAATCGATTAGGTCACACAAAGGTCACACCTATGTGTGATTAAATAATGGCCGACCAAAAATGCCACAACTCATTCACACACGCACACACACACACACACACTAGGCTCTCTCTCTCTCTCTCACACACACACACATACACACACACACACACACACACACACACAACAATCAGGGAAGACAACTTGGTGGCAGTTGTAGCCTCAATGCACTCACTGACTGATGAATGACTGGAGTCCTACATAACGATCGTCTCCTGGGTGTGGTCTACTCGTAGTTTGTGTATGACAGCGACGTTTGTAAACGCCAGGCGACAGTCTACATCAGCCATACTTCTTCGTACTTTTGATAATTTCTGGCTCATAGTA